AAAAAAATTCTTTTTATCACTTCCTAACTGAGTATAATCTTCTTGTTGAAAATCAATATGGGTTTAGAACATGTCGCTCTTATGTGAATTAGCAGTCACTCATCTTACTGATAAAATTTTAACTAATATTGATAACAAAAAATTAAATGGACTTCTTGTTGATTTCAAAAAGGCTTTTGATCTTGTTGAGCATGAAATCCTAATTCTGAAATTTAGAATGTTCGGATGTTCCCATTAGTATTGAAATGGTTTACGTCATATCTTAGTGATCGCAATCAACGCACTTATTTCAAAAGCACATTATCCGATATGCGTCCTGTTAAAATAGCTGTTTCTCAAGGAAGTATTCTTCTCCTCCTTCTTTTTGTCTTATTTATCAATGATCTCCCTTCTCAACTTTCCCACTCAGAATCCACAATGTTTGCAGATGAAACCACCGTACTAACAAAAGGTTCTTCCATTCATTATTTAAATGTGAAACTTAACCTTGTTGCTCAAGATCTCTCAACATGAACTCAACAAAACCAAATGGTGACTAATACATTGAAAACCAACACCATGCTCATCAATTCTCCCCAACAACTTAAGAATACTTCAGACCGTTCTCTATCAGTATTCTTAACGGCAACATGCTTGCACAGGAGAAGCAAGCAAAAGTGTTGGGTTTAACGCTTGACGAGTTTTTAGTTTGGACCAAGCATATTTGACAACTTGTGTTCAACAATTAATAGTAGACTTGCTTTATTACAGTGCCTTTTTTAGCTATATATCTGGGGGTGGGCAATTGACCCCCAGGGAAAGAATTTGCCTCCCCCCCCAGTAAAGCCATTTCTGCCCCCGAAGTGCGAAGTAGAATTGCTCATGATTGCTGTCAGAATTGCAGTTGATTTACTTGATAATGAGATTATGCCCTTCCATAGCCTTTTCCACAGCCATCTTGTGTGTAATTCATATTGTTCTTCACCGAGTATTCATATAATAGCGATAGATTTCATACAAACAATCCGATAAAATGCTGGTTCTAAGAAGAACATATTTAGTTTTGATTTTTATCATCATAGCATGAATATTTCTTCTCAGATTTATTCTGTATCGTAAGAAGAAGCAACGCAATTTTGAAAATGCGGAAATGGTATCTCATAGAACCTAAAACGATTTAAATGGAACATTTCTGATCCAGATCACATTGGGATCTTCTCCCGCCCCCCCCTCCCAGCATCACTGAGAGGAAATAAGGTGACACTGACCTCTCCTCCTATTTTTCAAGGTGACTTTTCCAATTTATTTAATTCCGAGTAGAAATGTCTGGAAAAATTAATGTCTTCGATGTGCTTTATAATCTTCGGAATTCTGCTAGATTTCACACCCAAAATGCTTTAAATCGCAATTTAGGGACCCTAGATTTCAAAATTTTCCCGGGGATGCATGCCTCCGGACCGTCCTAGACGGTCTCACGCCTTCGGCGTGAGGTACGCCCCCCAAAAATTAAGGTTTGGCTACGCCACTCGTTATAGCAGTACGATTATAGCTACAAGTTATTGTTTAAAGTAAAATATAGGTGAAGTTAATAAATTAAGGTTTAACAAAATCTCTCCTCAGCCTCGCGCGTTCTCCAAACCTCGACGGCTCATACTTTTCGTTCCGCCTTTTTTTCCTGTTTTGGCCCCCTCCCAGTGAAAATTCCTTAAAAAAGGCACTGCTTTATTACGCAGGATTAAACCCTTTTAAAGGACTATGCTCTTCGCTTCTATAACTCCTGTATTAATTCAAGTCTTATCTACTGCTCTGTAACTTGGGAAACTGCTCAAAAACACTTTACTTCGCATTCTTCGACTGCAAAAGCGTGCAGCACGTATTATGCCTTCTGCCTTTAAATTTCAACGATTACTTCGTACCTGTGCATCAATTACATTCATATAATACAAAACTTGCATCGGGACTTTGTTTATCATTACCTAAACCCAGGACAAATTTTGGTTTATTTAACATTAGATATCGGGGTGTCAAGGTGTGGAATGCACTCAGCGATTTTGACAAAAGATTGTCATTCACACAGCTCAAACGAAATCTTGTAGCTAATTTTGTTGATTCTTAGTAATCTTTTAAAAAAAATCCAGAATGTAGTTTATTATATCTTTCTATTTGGTTCTTAATATCTTACTGCATTAATTCCTTTTATTATTATTCGGGAACTTTGGCCTCCAGCTCTGACTAGCCTATTGGTTATTTTGGAGAGCCGGCTTCACTCTATTCATAATTATATAAGTAACTAATGAATGATTGTAAAATTGTAGTGAAGCAATTAATAAAACTTCTTCTACTAACCATATCGAAGATCTATTTTGAATAAATTATAGATATTTGCTAAATTGTAATTGTATTCATTCCTATTTTTTTCTCTCATATGTAAATAGTCGTAATTAATCTTTAATACTTTTATGCCTGTAAATATTAAAATAGTGCGAGGGCCGTATGTTAGATAACTTTTTATGGTTAATACGTTTTCCCTCGTGAAATTATGTTTCTATTCTATTCATTTCATCCCCCTTATTCAAAACTGCATTGCGTATGTATTTTTCCCAATTCTTGTGTTTTATATCACGGGGTATTTTAACATAATTTTATTTGGGGTCAGAAGCCAATATAAAACAGCATAAAGAATATAAGCAATATATAACAGTCACGTGGCGTTTCATAAAACCGCGGGAATAGATAGATCGAGCCGTTTGATATCGAAACGTTCTATACCGGGTGTATGTAACTTTTTGCATGATAGTCCTGACTCTTGGATTTACGCTGGGGAACATAAGAATGTACATAAATATTTTTCCTTTCCAGTGTCGATTGCCTGTTAAATTTCCGATTTTTTTCTTATATATCAATGATACGAGTATAATGAAGCATTCTTTTCTCCGTGACTATAGCGTCATGCACCCCAAATGTTTTTGGGATGATTTCCTGAACCTTGGATTCAAGTCCATGCATGTGGAAACGTTTTCAGTTGACATAAAGAATTATTTTACTGCCATTTGCGTTCAAGCTTGATGCGTGCAAAGTTTTTCACGTTATTTTACGTGTTACACCACGGGCTTTAGGACAAAATCAATTTGACAACAATAGTATTCTATCTAAATAGCAGTTAAAATAAAGTGTACGGTATAATGTATCTCTTTAGTACAAGTTGTACAGTATAAAAATGTACTTTTATTGCCTTCAATATCAAAACCCTATTTTCTTACACGTGGTCTCTTTCTGATACCTAAATATATATTACACCACGTTACATGACGTGACTACATTACATCCCTGCTTTTCTTTAAAATAACTCATTAATGTTAATTGCCGTTTATTGCTTATTACCTTATAAAGTCTACGTGTCCGCTTTACCAGTAATTATTTAACTAGTTTTAACATGTCTAACTTCTATAAAAGTCCGGTGGTCTTCGATTTTGTCTAATAAGACAATACCTTCGTTGTAGATCTGGTTGTTGCTCTTCAACTGATGTTGGTTGCTGGTTTTCTACTATGCCGTCGTCAAAATCGTCTTCTTCATCATTCTGGTCTTCTTCACTTGCGTTCTTGTAATTTGTGAGACATTTGAAACACTCTATTCCGTCAGAGAGTTCTGGAAATTTATCTAAAATTTTCTGTGTATTAATGTCAATGTTTTTCATGCTATTTCTGTCCCTTATTTCTCGATTTCCGGAGTCACTTTGACTGTTCGCGTCACTTCCGTTTGAGTGGCTTCCGGTGTTGATTTCATTCCTACCTCGACTTCCGGTTGTTTTCATGCTATGAAATTTAGAGACTTCGTTAACTTTTATTTTTAAAATACCTAACTCTGCGGCTGTTTCATTACCGAGAAGTGATCCCGCTTTGCCGTTGACAACATAAAACGTCGATATTGTACGCTTTCCATTCGATTCAACCGCTAAACGACATTTTCCGAGCAATGGCAAGGGCAGAACGGCATTATATGCATATATATTTGTTTGTGTTGGCTCTAATTGTACATGTTTATTTCTTTTCCTAATACAAGCGAATGCTTCACTATCAAGAATATTTGTCGTCGCTCCTGAATCGATAGTCACAGCGATAGGGGTCCCATTGATCTGTATTTGAATGTTAGTTATTTTTGATGATGAAACAGCAAAAGTATACTCATCGTCGGACGACTTAGGAGGGCTTTGTTATTGGGTTTGTTGTTGTGCAACTCTCACAGACTCTCTCGAATCTTTCTTACTATCTTTCGGGGGATTTTTTCGACTTCGACAAACTGTAGCGAAATGATTGAGCTTTCCACAAGCTCTACAGGTTTTGCCCTTCGCAGGACAGACATCTTTATGCCCTTATTTAAATTCATTTCCACAATTTCGGCATTGATTTTGTTTGTGTGGTTTTGGTACATATTTAGCATGTCTTACCTTGTCTTTAGCTTCGTCATTTCCCTCGTCTTTTACACGATTAACATTGTTCCGAGATTTATTGTGTCCCGAGATATTCGACGCTGGTTTTTCTGCTAATTCCTTCGCTCGCGAAATGGTAATAAGCTTAGCCCATGTCAGATCTGTCTCGCGTAAAAGCTTCGTACGAAATCCATGAGACGAGCATGCCATAACAAACTGATCGCGTGTTTCATTCTCGGCGCTTTCGAATTCACACGTTTCGGCTAGTGTACGTAGACGAGTTATGTAGCTGTCTACCGATTCTCCAGGCGTTGGATGTGTCTGTTTAAACACATAGCGTTCATATATTACGTTCTTTTGTGGCTGAAAATATTCGTCGAGCTTCTCTAGAGTTGTTTTGAAATCTGTCCCGGTGTCTTGTAGTGTTTTGAATATTTTATGAACCGACGGGCCAGCTACATACAATAACATTGCGCGTTTCTGTGCATCATCCTTGATGTTGGCAGCTACTGTATACATATTAAAACGTTCTCGCCATTCTTTCCAGCGTTGGGCTAGCGAGGAATTATCACCCTCTGCATCAAACGGAGGTGGTGGTTTTAAATCCAAAATTGTGGCCATCGAGATTTCTTCTGTGTTCACTTCTTCTTCGTTTGGGTTCAGCATTAAAATAAACTCGTCGCCAAATATAATGTATCTCTTTAGTACAAGTTGTACAGTATAAAAATGTACTTTTATTGCCTTCAATATCAAAACCCTATTTTCTTACACGTGGTCTCTTTCTGATACCTAAATATATATTACATCACGTGACATGACGTGACTACATTACATACGGCACCTGAACTGTTCAATATGTTGCTTCTGTATCCATAAAACATTTACATACAGTATATGCAAATACTGTATATTTTCAAAATCCGCCGTATTTATTCACATTAGAACCTAAGCATTCGCGGTTCACACGAAATATTAACGTCGGTGATTTTCACTAATAACAAGAGGGTAGGATCATCCAATTATTTAATCGTTCGAAGCGCGAGGAAACCATACTTCCATATATGGCAGAAACGTGTCCTCAACTTCGTTATATGGCACAAACGTGTCACCAAAATATTTTATCAAAGCTGTTATGATGTCATAAGGTTCCTCCCGCTCGGAACGATTTGGACAGGTCACGTGGTACAGAACTCAGACAGCTGAATGGGTTAGCGACTGACAACGCCCACTTTAATCCTACCCTCTTATTATTATTGAAAATCACCGACGTGAATATTTCGTGTGAACCGTGAAAGCTTGGGTTCTAGTGTAAATAAATATGGCAGATTTTGAAAATATACAATATTTGCAAATATGTAAATGTTTTATGGATAATTATAGAAGCAAGATATTAAACAGTTCAGGTGCTGTACACTTTATTTTAACTGCTATTTAGATAGAATACTGTTATTGTCAAATTGAATTTGTCCTAAAGCCCGTGATTAAACGCAAAGTTCCGGGGTTAATCACGCCTACCCTGCGAGCAAAGTCCTCTCGTATTTCTGCTCGGCACGGCACGGAGAAGCGAGAAAGACTCTGCAGAACTTGTGTGCATGTGTTCTTTGGGGAGCCGACAATACAAAAACTTGGATAATTATGCGTAATTTCAGGTTTTATACTGGTTTTATAACCGGCTTTGATCTGAACCGGAAACTACTTATTAAATCTTCTTCTGGGAAACAGGCAGTTGCTTAGCCACCTTCGCGCATGCTCAAATTAATTTATAGACAAGTTCTGCAGAGTTTCTCTCGCTTCTCCGTGCTGTGCCGAGAAGAAATACGAGAGGACTTCAGTAGCTCGCATGGTAAATCACGCCCTTTTAATTGACCAACGAAACTGATCGTTTAAACCATGGAACGGTTATTTTTCGTTACATATTAATATTTATGTTTTGTTTGAATCCATGCAATGATGTTTGTACAATTTCATGCTGTAGGCTAAATTAATCCCTAATATACAGCTATAAAATGTAAATAATTGATTGTACAGTACTTAAAATTACGAAAATACAAGAATAAAAGTATATTATATCCTTGCTTCCACAATCAATATTTTTATATTTTCACACGATCCAATTTCATCGGCTAAACGGGCGTGATAACCTTTGAAACGTTTGAAACGTAAACAAACGTTAGTATTTTTGCACGCTTCAAGCTCACAAGCAAATGCCAGTAACGGCAACATGTTTCAGTGACAAACTCTTTTCAATACCATTTCGAAGTGATACGCGTAATGAAGGTGAACGTATCTCCGCGACTATTTGTTTCATGTTCACAAAACATTAATTAGCTCCGAACCTTGGTTGAGAAAAAATTGTCGTTGTTTGGGTGCAAACAGCTTGGCGTTTCAGATTGTATCATACTGGTGAACGGCACGGCAGGAACTTGGATTCTTTATAAGAGTACAAATGCAACCGTTACAGACTTGAACAAAAACAGCTAATGTGTTTCAATTTTGGACATTTCCAGATGACGTTGATTGTAGAAAAACAAAATGCGGGGAAAGTATTTTTCAATATTGTTATAATATAATAATTACCTGACATGTTTCAACAATATTGTTTATTTCACTTTAATTAAACAAAGCCCACATCCCAATATATGTATACCGAAAACCTGCTTACCATCTACCTTGCGTATTTACGTTCCTCGTCAAACCATTTGTTTGAACAAAACATAAAACAATGATAAAATACAATTGAAAATCACACAAAATCCATTTCATCTTTTGAAGTTGTTCTGAAATCGTCAAAGTAATCTGTAAATATTTTTTTCATTCAATAAAATCTCGATTAACCACCTGCTCTGAAACAAACATATTTGCATGAAAGGGAAACGCCCTGCATTTATATATATATATATATATATATATATATATATATATATATATATATATATATATATATATATATATATATATATATATATATATTAACTAGAAATACATGCATGCAGCAACCCCTCGCCTATATTTTCCAAACATCGACTTACATGAAGTACTGTGTTAGTAATTGATCAACACTGAAC